CAAATGTATTTGAAAAATGACACTGGGCGACACTTTAATGACATTTCAGGTGGTCTACTTTTTAATTCAGCAATAATTATTAATTATTGTTAATTCTGCAATAGTTTCTTTCGTCTTGGGTGGCCCAACTCACGGCGTAGAAAGTCTGTGTAGTTGGATACAATGAAAATGTCCCCCCAAAATATTTGATAATTATTTTTTTAATTTTTGAACCCCAAATAAGCACACATCAGCCGTGAAATCCCCAGGGCGATTTTTCGGATGGGCGAATTTACGGCAGAATCCGGTATTATATAAAGAAAGTATTATTATGGACATCTCACGCATATTGCCAATGTTTTATACTGTTTGCAGTTTGCATATGAAAGTGGTTGTTGATGCCCCTCCTATTATTCGACGTTGTTGACAATGCGCTAACAATGCCACTCGCACTGTGCACATTTTAGCACTAGATCTAGTGCCATTTTAGCACTAGATCTAGTACTTTTTTCGGATTAGTGCTACTAGCACTAACCACTCGCACTACGCCCATTTCGACACATTTACATACATGGAGATTAGGCTTAACCGGAAGTGCCCCTTTAACCAAAAGGACTGGTTCACAATTTCAAGGGGGTTCAGGCTCCAAGACATAATAGATCATTTCAGGTTGTAAAAATCACAAGAATTCACTTACTTTTTTAGCCCAGCCTTGCAGTTGAAGATTATACATATCAATAGATGGCTTCAATGTTGCAGCATATTTATCACTAAAAAGTCTCACAGTCAAGTCCGTCAGTTCCACCTGCGCATGTCAAACAAAAAGTTTAACCAATGATTAAATGCAGTTCTTAAAAATCATCAATTACATAAACAGAAGAGAACGGATTCAAAATAGATGTAATACATGTTTTGAGTAAGTAGAGACATTAGTAAATACAGCTCAAGAGTAACTAACCATTTTTTTCCCCCCACAGAGTTGCTCATTAGCATTACTATTTCTAGGAATGAAAGAAGTGTATTATGCCTTGCAATTCAGTGATCACACTTTTTAATTCACACAAGATTATACATATCACAGCACCTGCATAAGCTATATCTTCAACATTCTATATCCTTGGTTATACTAAATTGGTTCAAAGTAGCAACAATGCACAAAATCAGTAACAATTTGATGCAAAACCTGATCACAATTAACTGGTCATTAAATCACTGACACAATTCACATGGCTGATAAATGCGTATGGATAATTGATCAATTTGAACACGCTCAAAGGCTAAAGTTACTTAGGGCCCTCTCACCCATAACTCCAATCCTAACTCTGTTCAAGTACTCATTCACCATTTTACTGTTTATGCCACTCTTCAGGACATGTATAGTTTATATAGGGATATTAAAGAACTCTTTCACAATATTCGTCATACATGTATGGTTCTTTAAGTGCATACAAATTTACAAGCTTGCATAATAATTTTGAATAATTGAAAATATCTATCTGTAATACTCTATGGTGCATATTATATGAATGCAAAGTGAACCCTACCACTCACCATGTCTGCTGCATTTGAGACGTCAAGAAAACCCATCAAAAACTGATGCTCTGTAGATAAAGTTGTGTCAGCATCAACTTGATCAATTGTCCCGTCGCCCACAATACTTGATTTTGACTTTTTCCCAGATTTCTTCTTATCTTTTTGCAATTCTGTTAACTGTTCTTCATCCTCAATTTTCTTGGTCTTCTTGGATTTCCGCTTCCGTTTAGCAGGTTTTTTAGTTTCAGGTTTATCAGGATCAACATTCTGATTTGCTGTCTCTTCTTGAACATTTTTGGTTTTTGATGTTTTCAGTTTCCTTTTGGGTTTTTTTGTTGGCAAATCGTCCGACCTTCCCGCGACTACTACACCACCATCTTGCATTGTTTCTACATTGAACTGGAGAGGTGATTCCGATATTTCATTTTCTCCATGTAATATTACACCGACTGGAGACTGTTCTGAAGCATTCTCATTAAACTCCAAAGAATCACTTTCAGATGTAAATGACACAACTTCCCTTTGTAACGTTTCATTTGAGTGTAAATGTGATGAATTTGGTGTCGGCAGATCTTTATCAGAAAGTGATGTAGTTTTTGTTTTATCGGGGGCAAATGTTCGATTAGTATCACTACAATTGTCTCTAGTCTGAATTATGTGGTTTCCATGACTACCAGCAAAGACAGCTCTGTTGTATTCAGCTACAATGAAAAATAGTTTGAGAAAATAAATTAGTTGCTTTAAATAAATACAATACTTGAGTTCCAAAATAAAAAACTACGTTTTATCTAACTTGAAAAATGATACAAAATTAATCACATCTATATCCAGTAATTGTTATTTGAATTTTAGTCGATAGATTTAGAGTAACAATTAAGTTACCTGGTGGTTTAGATTGCAGCTGTAGTAATCTGTCTTCTAAAGCTGAAATTGATTAACAACTATTACTAGTTTTGCTATGTATTAATTTACAGTGATGTATTCTGTGATTAACGCATATTGCTGACTTCTTTTTCCCCATTGACATGTACATGTATTTTGCAGCAGGCAATGTATGGTGAATACATTTTGTACATTGCATCATGGGAAAACGAGCATTTACCCAAACAAAACAAAATGTAATTCATGCCATATTTCTTTGTTTAATACAATCTGATACACTTTACATGAAGTTTAATTTTTTCTACATTTTTGCAATTCCTTTTCAACAAAACATAGAAAACTTTACATTGTGTAACAAGCATAGAACACAAAATGTGTATACCCTGGCAGGGCTTAGCACATACATTGAAGGAACAACAGAATATCAAAGATCTCCAGGGCAACCTCATTGGGCATCAGGGCAGAGGCCTTCAATGCCCCTGAAGTTCAAGTCCTGTCCATACTCTGACGTTATTTGCTCTGTTACATAATACTAATAAAATCACATTGCTGTATACTAAATCATTAAAATACTAGTATTACTTAACTTGCTCATAAAAAAATTTGTGTAATCATTCTAAGCACATGTGCTACAGGTAGAGCAAATTTCAGATGTTGAAAACTGTCCAGCCTGGTCAGGCATTTAGTTCAAGTTGTGTAGCAAGTTCAATTCAGAGCTTAATATCGATACTTGTATTGGTGCAGAAGTTAGGGAATATAGCATGTACAGACGAATAGGAATACCTTGCAACAATTTGAGTTTTTCAGCATCGGAATTCAGTAGACGTGATGATACTTTTGTATTTCCTGCTGATGTCTTGTGGTATGACCGTGCAACTGAAAAAGTGAATCAATTACTGCATTAATAAAACCAATTTCATTCCCCGACCAATCAGATGAAGTAAAGTTGTTGCAATCATTGTCAATGATTTGATCTGTGGTATCCGATTTCACTCCTGATTAGCAGACCAGTATCACCAGTACTTTATACGAATATTTTATTACTGACATTTTCTATCTAGACACTAGTACAACAATCGCACTGCTGTATCACGCTTTTCCTGGGCTCCATGCATGCTACGTCGAAGAGGACACATTGGTGACAAAAAGTTGAAATGGTACACATGTTGGAAACACATGGCTAATACTACGCCATTGGTTAAGGGTTACTCATTTAAAACTGTGGGAAGGGGCAAGAAAAAATGACTTTGTAATGAAAAATAGAGCATGCCCACCCCACAAAACGGAACAATCACTAGACGAATTTAAAAATATGGGGAGGGGGGTTGTGTACCAATTTTCTTCCAGCCCCTCCAAGTTTCGAAATGTCCAACCCCTGCAAGTACTGCGCGAGTTCAATTCCTAAGATTTTCACCTGTTTTTTCGAAGTGCTTCCCACGAAGCAAACTGCAATTCTTGCACGAAGTAAATCGCGGATCATCGCAGATACGAAGGGAGGTCCTCTGTCTCCACAACGACGCCTGAAACTGTCGTAAAATCGCAAGTCTCAACACCTGCGACATTCCGCACGTGGTACACTTCCTTTGCGTAGCAGAGCTGAAAAAACACAGCATTGGCAGTCAAAGTTGAAAGGTCAACTACTTTTTCAGCAATTTAAAAAATAAAATCAATGAATTAATATGGAAAGTAAATGTTTTTCCACATTTAAGCTTTTAGATTACATAATTTTATTTTTTATGTAAGAAAACGTGGAAGAATTGTTTTTTTTTTTCATTTCCCATGATTCAAAGTGTGCCAACATGGCGGCCACCACGGAACGCGAAATTCGTAAACTCAGGAAGAAACTTCGACAGATTGAGAGTTTAGAGCACGCTGATCGTGAATTGAACGACGAAGAATTAGGAAAAGTAAGTGAAACTGCACCAACCACTAAATTTATATTTAACGTAGACGATTTTCAACGAATGAAATATTATGGCATACTCTGTCTTTTTTTGTTTGCGCCACCAACGGTTGAATCCAATATTTTGAAGAGGCATTTAAAACTTCCTTTTGTCGCGTCAGGTGTACACACACAGATATGTGCTGATATCTAAACATCTCTCTCAATGATTACAGAACTATATATAATGTGTGCATGCTTTTTAAACAAATCAACTTAGATAAATTAGTGTAGTGTATTTACTCCATTTTATGCATGCATGTGCTTACCTTAGTTTATACCACAGTCCCTCAACACCCTGTGGTTGTACCAAGGTTTTTCTTACGTACTGTGGTCAAAATAATTAATTCAGTATACCATATTTGGTTCATTAGTAATGCGTACATTTACGTAAATGTTAGTGGTGTGTGTATGGCCTAAAGAAGTAATAGCGAGTGCAGTCACGGTTCTAGTAACTGTGGTGCAATCGATCATAATAACTCACAAGACTATGATATCATTATCAGCATAATTATAATTAACCAATCACAAGTTAGACTATTAAACCTCAGGTTAACATTCAACGTTAATCATGATTCGCCGGTAAATTTATCTACAGAACTAAAGCAAGGTTGCGACTATTGGTTTGGTGTATGTAAATCCATCGTTTTTCGTCAGTTGAGCAGCAATTTTGCCTCAGCCTAATAGTGTCGTCCCTATTAGTAAAAATTAAATCAACGACCATGGTACATGTATGAGACATTTCCTTGCTACAGTGATTACCGTAAATTCTATACAGAGTATGTACAGTACCAGTTTTAGAAAGGCTGTGCTGAGCTAAATTCAATTTACATGTACATTTGTATACTCAGAACAAGTCACTGTTTAGATCTTACCAGGTCTAGGGAAATCTAGATTGCTACACTTGGTTGTAACCACTTGAAGCTACATGTGCATACTTGTACACAATGTATACAGTAATGGGTTGATCTGGTATATAGAAGTGAATATTAAATTAACATTACCGCTGCATAAACAATATTGGGTCGATAGTATTCTTGCGAGAGTGCCTTATTTCATTATTACATGTACCCTGTAGACTACATGTACATGTATAATTTGGATAATTGCTAGTCAATGTGGGATTTTCCAAAATCCAATTACAACAAAGGTTTGTAGTAATTATTAGACATTGTGACCTTGTGAAAATCCAACATAAATCGCTATGGCCAATGTGTATAAGGTCTGGTAATCGAGTAAGCCTGTCTATTGTAATTAGTAATGTGAGCTATTTATGAGTGCCTCATTCTCCTTTAACTGTGTGGGGGAAGGGAAGGTTCGGATCTTCTCAGTCACGGAAGTGAAGACTGAAACGGACACATCATGTAAGCTAGAGCTCAATCTCGTTTATTCTTCAACAACAACGTAATACAGATGTTAACTCATAAACAACTGGAAAGCAACTGCTCAAAACGAGCGCAAAAACATGTTGATTGAAATGTCCAATGTATATAAGTAGTCTTTCAAAATCGTTGGTACCTCAGAAGTTCAACATCACATACATGTACATTAACATAGATAATTAGGATACATGTATGTAGTATATAACTGCACTCTGATTCATTGTCAATTCTAGTCAATAACTTTTAATTAGCATAATCTCCCGGAGTGATTCCGCTCTGGTTTTCACTCCAACGCAGGAGGTCATCTGCAGTTGCGTCCAGTTGGGATTTCTTTAGCGGTCAGATTAGTTTTCGCGATCACGCTATTTCTTTTTGTAAAACAAAAAAGAAGTCCTGACTTTGCAAGTCTATGAAATTTACAGCATTTTTACTTTACATTTTAAGCTGATAAAAAGTTAGATAAAATCAACCATACATTGATTTTACAGCAGCCTTATTTCCCAATTTTTTGTTTATTTTAGTAATATGGAAAATCAGCAAAATATTATTAATAAATAGTACTGATCAAATTATTTAGTTTTGTATTCCTCAAGTGACTATGTTTCACTCTTAATAATAAATTGTTTGCAGGTTGCCAAGAAAGACAGCATTAGAATTACACTACAGGAAATACTTGCACAGTTCACAGAATCTGAAGATGATCATCAGAATTCCAGTACCGACAGCTTGGAACAGCTTTCTGGCACAGAAAGCATGCTTGAAAACACTTCACATAGCTTGTCCCAAGACTCCACATTCAGCCACGACGAACGCATTATAAAACGGAAACTTAATGATGAAGAGTCAATTGAAGAAATACCTAGTGCGGTTATTGATGACAGTCATGTACCAGTAGAACCACACCCAGCCAAAATTTCAAAAAAGGAACTGCAGCCTTCAAATCGTGGTGACAGTCAAAACGAAGAAATTAAAGGTGCTTACATTTCATCGTATTTATTGCCCAATCGAATACAGTTCGAAAATAAAGATTTATGGATTGACCTTCTTGTGTTCGTTCGTATCCAGCCATATTTCACACATGCTTGGACCAATAAAGCTCAAAATGCACACATACATCAGACATATCAAAATGCACATGCATGATCCAATTCAAGATAGCCAAATGTTTTCCAGAACAGGATCTCAGTCGTGTTGATGGTTTTCGTTTAAACTTTGTACATACATTGAACTTGTTACACATCATTTAGTTTTTCAGGTTGAGTTCAAACAAATTGTTTCAAGGAATGCAGTTGAGATTCCGTATCTGACATTCTTTTAAACTCCACTTGTATATCATAGTTGACACACTGGCATACATAAATGGCTGAAGGGTTGAAAAATGTTTTCTGCCTTTTCTGCGACTGAACGCACACCTGGATCTTGAGACACTCTAACAAACAAAAATATTTGTAACCCCTAATTGTTTTGCTGTTTTAAAATATAATTTTTATTTTATATAAGTTGAATATAAATCTGATTTTTTTGTGAAATTTCAAATCATTCTAACTTACTGGTAATACACTATTATTTCAGGCAAAAAGAAAACACAAACTGTCAGTAGACAAAGCCAAATGTTAGAAGCACAGAAAGTGTGGAGAAGTAGTAAATTTACCGTTCGTCAACTTGAAGGCCATAATGACCTCATATGTGCAGTGGATTGTGATGAATCAGTCATTGTAACAGGAAGGTAAAGCTAGCTATGTTCACACTTATATTTTCCTACTCTAACCAAACTATTATCATCGCTGCATTTTCGGAATCACTTTCCTGCAAAACATCGTCATTGAGTTGGACAAATATATTTAGTTTCTGCAAAATCTGAGGTTTTTACATGTAGGTACAGATTTGACAATTTATTTGTAACAAAAACAAGCACTAGGGTCTGGAAAAACACATTCTGTGTTTCTGTCCTGCCAAAAAAAAAATAAATAAATTTGCACCCAGGACATAATAACAAGTGTAATTCACCAGGAAATGTTCTCTTATTTTAATCAAAATGCTAGTGTTTATCTTGCATCCAATGATTTTTTTCCTCCTTATTGTACATGTACATTAGGTTATTAATTTAAAAAAATTTGCCTTCTCTGGTTCTAACTTCTTGTGTTTCACATCTAGTCGGGATACTATGGTAAAAATCTGGGATGGGGATATCGGTTGTGAACTTCGAAGTCTTGGAGGACATACTGGTACGGTCACTGGTGTGCGTTTATTGAAACAAGATGAAAGTGGAAGATTGGGTGAGTGTCAATAGTTTTAGATTTGGCAGTGGCGAGGCTGCCATAGGCCATCGAACTATGACATCATTTTAATAAATGTTACTCAGTGACCAACACTAGCTCACGATCTACTGTGGATACATTGTCCATAAATTGTTTTATTAACATGAATACGTACATGTATATTTAATACCAACTGCAGTGAAAAATGCCATTGTATTATCAACTACTAGTACCGGTCGTAACTGCGCATACTCGTAAAACATAAACAATTGCGATTAACAAATATCTACTAAAAAATGACTACCGAATATCTAAATTGTGTTTGAAGTCATTGAAGTGCGAACTGACTTGCATTTAATATGTTCTCTTGTCAGCTCCACGACTAGAAGTCGATAAAACTCACCAGATTGCCATCAGCTGTTCACTAGACTGCTCCATCAAACTGTGGAATTTGACAACTGGAGAGATGATAAAATCCATCTATACATTCAACCCATTGTTGTGTATTTCATATTTACCAGAAGATTACTTGATTGCATCTGGTTCAGGTAAGTTTTGTTTTGGATCTTAATGTTTGCTTGAAATTGAAAAATTGGGGATGTTTAGAAGTTTAAATAAACTTTTATAGCAGTCCTTTCATTATTTATTGTTTGGGCTTGTAGACTTTGACATTCTTAATTAATATTCAAGACAATTGTACATTAATATAAAATATTGAGATTGGAAACGTATGCTACATTTAAATGCTTGGATCTGATGGTGCAAAACATGATTTTATTGTCTAGGTACAAATGTATGTCCTATCTTAATTTGTCTCAGTATGCATGTACTGTAGATATACATGTATTGCTAATACCATTCATGTGTTCTTACCATGAAAATATAAGTTCATGTTAATGATTTATTTTACCAGACTAGAAAAAAGTCACATATTCAACACCACAATTCAATATGATCTCACACGATGTGTACAACACATGTAAAATACATTAGTTGCTTACAAAAATTTGAGCATGTGCTGTTTGACAGAAGAAAATAACAAATTTCACTCATGAAAAAATGCAAAGAACACACATTGATTGATGAGATGAAATTTCAGATGTACATTAATAAGAATATTCAATGTTCTTATCGGGGAATAAAGACATGTGCACAATTGTTCCATCAGTTTAGAAAGTACAAGACAATTACCCATCCATGGGTGTCTTGAGACTCACGTATGAAGTATTTTGTTCCTCTAATAATAGAGTGTATTATTATATCGCATTCTTTGTGAGACAATTTGTTTCTTGACAGTAAAAAACCCATGACAAAAAATTAATCCATGTTTGGTGAGAACTCTAAATATTATTGAATTGAATGATATTTTTGATTTGCTAGATGGTGGTAAAATTGAACTTTGGAATATTATTGATGGTACTAGTCTGCATTCAGAGATAGCATATGATGCTGAAGTTACTGATATGCAGGTATCCT